TGTGTGTGTGTGCATATGCGAGTGGGTAGAGGCACAGAGGGAGAGAATCTCAAGCAGACTACCTGCTGAGCACAGAGCCCATAGTGGGGCTCCATCCCACAACCCATGAGGTCATGACCAGGGCCAAAACCAGGAGTCAGAAACATAATTGACTGGGCCACCCAGGTGCCCCCAGCCTTGTTTTCAATAAAAGTGAATGGGATAGAAAACATCAGAACGTAAGAGCTAAGTACTGTTTTATAAAATGTTTGTTTTGAGGGCTTGTGGGTGACTCAGTCGATTAAGGATCTGACTCTCAGTTTTGGCCCAGGTCATGATCTCAGGGTCCTGGGATCAAGTCTGTATCGGGCTTCATGCCTAGCTTGGAGTCTGCTTGAGATTTTTCTCTCCCTCTCCTTCTGCCCATCCCTCTTATGCTCTCTCTCTCTCTTTCTCTCTCTCTCTCTCATAAATAAATAAAATCTTAAAAAAAATGTTTCTGTTTTGAATGTATGTGTATGGTATCAGTCATGATGTGAAATGTATTTTTTACTGTGGACCGAAGTCAAAAGAGTTTGAAAGCCATTAATTGCTAGATCTCTGGTTCTTCACCTGTGCTGCACAGTGGAATCACCCAGTGGGCTTTGAAAAATAGGGCTGCAGGGGTACAACCCCTGGGGATTCTACTGTTGTTGATTTGGGGAGTGACCTAAGCATGGGGCATGCTTAAAACTTCTTAGATATGTATTGTGGCAGGGTCCAGGGAAGGAGCAGAGTGGGCTTAGAATACAGAGAATGCCTGCCCCAAATGAAAGATTGGTGCAGTCTAGTGGGGTAAGAAATGAAAGCTTCACAGTAGTTCAGCTTGAGAAATGTGGAGGGAGAATGGAAAAGAGACTGGGATCATTAGAACTGTGTAAGCATTCCACCTGCCATTCTACTCTGTGAGCACATGGCCCAGAGTCAGCATGATAGGGGACCCCAGCCTGCTCTGACCCCAGGTGGTCTGTTTATGGGTGCCTCCCTCTCATGCAAGCCTCTCCACACACCAAATTGCATTTAAGGGTGATTCTTTTTCTTTTTTCTTTTTAATTTTTTAAGAGATTTTATTTATTTATTTGACAGACAGAGATCACAAGTAGGCAGAGAGGCAGGCAGAGCGAGAGGGGGAAGCAGGCTCCCTGCCAAGCAGAGAGCCCGATGCGGGGCTCGATCCCAGGACCCTGGGATCATGACCCAAGCTGAAGGCAGAGGCTGAACCCACTGAGGCACCCAGGCGCCCTAATTTAATTTTTTATAATTTAATTTTTTAAAACTTTGATTCCACTATAGTTAACGTACAGTGTTATAGTAGTTTTAGGTGTCCAGTATAGTGACTCAACAGTTCTGTATATTACTAACCTACCTTGTTGAGGGTTTTTATCATGAATGGACGTTGTCCTTTGTCAAATGTTTTTTCTGCATCTTTTGAAAAGATCACATGACTTTTATCCTTTCTCTGGTTGATGTAATGTATCACATTGATTGATTTCTGAATATTGAACCATCTTTGCATCTGGGACTAAATCCCACTTGATTTGTGGTGAATGATTTCTTCTTCTTCTTCTTTTTTTTTAAGATTTTATTTATTTGACGGAGATCACAAGTAGGCAGAGGCAGGCAGAGAGAGAGGAAGGGAAGTAGGCTCCCCACTGAGCAGAGAGCCTGATGTGGGGCTTGATCTCAGGACCCTGAGATCATGACCTGAGCCAAAGGCAGAGGCTTAACCCACTGAGCCACCCAGGCGCCCCTGTGGTGAATGATTTCTTAACTTAGTGTTGGATTTGGTTTGTTAATATTTTGTAAGAATTTTTGCATCCACGTTCATCAGGAATATTGGCCTGTAGTTCTCTTTTTTAGTGGAGTCTTTATCTGGTTTTGGTTTCAGGGTAATGTTGGCCTCTTATAGAACGAATTTGGGAGTTTTCCTTCCTTTTCTCCTTTTTGGAATAGTTTGAGAAGAATCAGTATCAGTTCTTCGTTGTGTGTTTGGTAGCATTCCCCTGTGAAGCCGTCTGGTCCTGAACTTTGATGAGTTGGGAGTTCTTGATGACTGATTCACTATCATTGCTGGGAATCATTCTGTTCACATTTTCTATCTCTTCCTGATTCACTTTTGGGAGGCTGTGTGTTTCTAGGAATTTATCGACTTCTTCCAGGTTGTCCAATGTGTGGGCATATAATTTTTTCATAAAATTCTCTTACAATCCTTTGCATTTCTGTGCTGTTGGTTGTTCTTTCTCCTTTTTCATTTCTAATTGTATTTATTTAAGTATTTCCTCTCTCTCTCTCTTTCTCCCCCTTCCCTCTCTCTCTCCCTTTTTATGAATGTAGCTAAAAGTTTATCAATTTTGTTGATCTTTTCAAAGAACCAGCTTCTGGTTTCATTGAACTGTTTTATTTTTATACTTTGTTTCATGTATCTTCTTCTCTAATTTTTATTATGTCCTTCCTCCTGCTGCTTTTGGGTTTTGTTTGTTCTTCTCTTTCAAGCTCTTTTAGGTGTGAGGTTGATTTGTTTATCTGAGATTTTTCTTGCTTCTTAGGGTAAGCCTGTATTAATACGAACTTCCCACTTAGAACAGCTTTTGCTGTATCTCAAAGATTTTGGACTATTTTGTTTTCATTTTCATTTGTCTCCATGTATTTTTTAATTTCTTCTTTGATTTTTTTGGTTGCCCCATTCATTGTTTAGTACCATATTATTTAACCTCCAGATTTTTTCTTTTGATTTCTAGTTTCAGATCATTATGGTCAGAAAAGATGCATGGTATGACTGATCTTTTTGAATTTGTTGAGACTTATTTTGTGGCGTAATATGTGATCTGTTCTGGAGAACGTTCCTTGTTCACTTGAAAAGAATGTGTATTCTGCTGTTTTAGGATTGAATGTTCTGAAAACATTTGTTAAATCCATCTGGTCCAATGTGTCATTCAAAGCCACTTTGTTTTGTTGATTTTCTGTTTGGATGATCTGTCCATTGATGTAACTGGGGTATTAAAGTCCCCTACTGTGACTGCATTACTATTAATTACTTCATTTATGTTTGCTATTAAGTTTTATGTATTTATGCACCCATGTTGGGTGCATAAATATTTACAGTTGTTATATCTCATTGTTCCTTTTACGATTATACGTTTTTCTTCGTCTCTTGTTACAGTCTTTGTTTTAAAATTTTAAGGAAAATTCTTGGTTTATTCTCTTATGATAGTCCTTCCCTCACAGAAGAGGAAACTCTGCTATATTCATGTTACAAGGAATGACTGAGTTTTAGCCAAACAACATCATCTAATACATTAAATTAATCTCATTACTTCTAATTGTATTGGTTTCCATTCTTGCTGTTATATGGCTTCCTTTGCTTGGTGTGACTGTGTGGCTTACCCTGAATACAGTGGGTCAGTAAATTAACTCCCAACTCCTTGCATATCTGTTAGCAGAAATTAGAAGACATTGTGAAGTGATGTGAATGGGCCCTAAAGCTTACTTTGACTATTTATCGGTAATCTTATCTATGTATGTGTGACATAGGAGTCAGAGGAAAACCTGTATTAAAAAGGAAAGTTGGGGGGGGCACCTGGGTGGCACAGTTGGTTGAGTGTCTGACTCTTGTTTCTGCTTAGATCATGATCTCAGGGTCCTGGGATGGAACCTCTGGTCAGGCTCTGCACTCAGCAGGGAATCTGCTTGAGGATTCTCTCCTCTCTGCCCCTCCCCCTACTTGCACACTCACTAGCGCACTCTCTCTAAAATAAATGAATACATCTTTTTCTTTTTTGTTTTTAAGATTTTATTTATTTGACACAGAGAGAGCACAGGAAGGGGAGCAGCAGGCAGAGGGAGAAGGAGAAGCAGGCTCCCTGCTGAGCAGAGAGCCCAACATGGGGCCTGAGACGCAGCTGGGATTCAAGATCAAATGCGTTGCCCCCAGGTCTGAGAACTGAATCTTCTAGAGAGTGAGGAGAGGGTTGGGGAGGCTGTTCCAGGCCAGAGGCCAAACTGGAATCCAGAGAATGAAGGGACGCAAGTGACGTGATGTGCTGGAGAGGGAGTCAGTCCAGTTATACAGCCTGATGGAGGAGCTGAAACCATGAAATATTACCAAAGAGTAGCAAAAATAAAATGAGAGAATCTTCTTACACTGATGTAGGGAGTTTGATAGGACATCTTGAGCATGGAATACACAAGGTGTAGGATGACACACAATGAACATTTATTTAGAAAAGAAACACATGTGTGTATGTGTGTGGGTAGGGGAGAGAGAAGGAGTGAGATACTGAATCTATAACAGTGTTCACCTCTGCCAAGGATGTGGGCTCCAGGTGTTAGTGGTTGTGGTCAAAAGAATTTGAGCTTTGATCTAATAGTTGTGTTTTATTTCTGCTTGTTTAGGAGTGATTTGACTGCATTTGTGTGCTTAGGTAATTTTGAAAGGTTAGGGCTTTGATACAAAAAAATGAAATAGGGGGATAAGTCAGAATTTCATATTCAGATTGGTCCTATCTCCAAAGTTCTAGACTGGAAGATTGTAAAATTCTTTAAATTTGTAAATGCTGATATGATGCAAGGGGATAATGGAAAACAAATTGACACTTAATTGATAGAAAGACAGCCTGGTTACTAATTAGCTCCATTTTTTTTTTTTTTTTAAGTGAAAGACTTTTTTGGGAGTTTTAGAAATCTGAGCACTAGCATAGGGATTTAGAGGACATTCTGGCAAAGAACGCCTGTCTTTGGTTACCTGGTCCAGAGGTGGAAATGATGGCCAGACAAGGAAGGGAAGGCCATTGACTGCACTCCCAGCCATCACTGGATCCTTCCAGAGCCCAGTGAGACAAGTCCTCTATGTGGTTGCACATGATATTTTTAAAATGCTTCCAAAACCCTAAATGGCTAATTCTGTGTGTTGTAGATGGAGGCAAGAGACCCGGACTGCTGAACTTCCACTGGAAAATATAAAATGTGCAAGCCCTTCGGGACGCTGGAGAGGCTGGGGCTGAACTGAAGAGGGAGACAGGACATGCCGGTGTGAAGGGTATGTAACATCGAAATGATAAAACCCGGTGTGTGGCAACCTGGAGATGTTTCTTGTTTCCAGTTTGTTCTGTGCCGTTGGAGAGACTGTGTGCTCTAGCTTGGTTATGTTGACGCGGGTGTGACTTCTCTGACGGGCAGCTGCATCCCTGTTTCCAGGTATCTGAGGGAATCAGTGTATGATGGATTGGCCGCAGGGTCAAACCAACGCCAAGGCGGTTGAGGAGAACATAAACCATAGCTCCCATTTATGGAGCACGGACTACGTGCCAGGTGAGGCTCTAAGCACTTTAATGGATTGATTCATTGAATTCCCACACCACCACCATGAAGGAGGCTCAGCTGCTATCCCCATCATAGAAATGCGGCCATCAGGGAGCACAAAGAAGTTGGTTCCTCACCAAGGAGGGTTGTGATGGTGGGACTCCATCCCAACATAAAAGCCTTACTCTGTCTGCTCTCTCCCTCTCTTGTAATTTCTTCCCATCCCCACCTTTCTCTCTCTCTCTCTCTTTTTTTTTTTTTCCGTAGCATCATAGGTCTCCATAAAAACAGGGAAATAGCATCAAAGGGATGTCAGTAGACACCACTGGCCGATTTGATTTTCCAAAATTGGCCACAACAATATTGCTTAGAACCTTGCCATGTTCCCTCAGGCAGGGAAGTGCATTTTCCCTCTCCTGGAGTCTGGGTAGAACTCAGTGACAGAGAAGTGGCAGGAGGGACACAGAGTGGTCTCAGAGCCAGATCATCGAAGATGACATGGCTTCTCCCTGGCTCTCTCTCATTCTTTAGGCACACTTGTCTTTGAGACCAGCTACCATTGGCCCAGTCCCCTTATAAAGGCCATGTTTCAGGGTTCCAGCTGCCAATCCCATATAAGGCCACACAGACACGTGAGCAAGACTTTGGGTGGCTCCAGCCGCCAGCCTTGGATCTGCCCCCACTGATGCCAGGCAGAGAGGAGACAAGCTGTCTCTGATGAACTGTTCATGTTCGTCCCTGTCCCCACAGCAGATTCGTGAACAACACCAACATCCAACACTGTCTTCGTTTCAAGGTCTCTCAATTATACCCACTGCAACACCATTTAAAGTAGAGGGCATTGTACTCATTTATGAGTAAGGAAATAGGAGCCCATTGAGATGATGTGACTCACCCAGGGCCACACAATGAGCTGGGATTTGAGCCCAGGGATAGTCTACCCAAGCTTATGAGATCTGCCACTGCACAGACGTCCGCTCCTTCTGGATCGAGAGTTGGGGTGTGGGCTGCCTTTTAGACACTGTTGCTCTCAGAGAAAGCCAACCCATCTGGCATAAGACGACAAGACAAAAACATAGGAGAACTGGTTTTACATAGTCTGTTGTGATTGTTTCCTTAATTTGAACCCGAGATCAATGCTGCCAGTTCTGGCCTAGACATACAGTTCTCTCAGGAAGCCAACCACCTTCCCTCCATGAGCTTAGACAGCTTGGGATCTGCTCATGGCACAGAAGATACTTTTCCCTGTCATGTGAAATAATAGTCATTTGTGTGACCAGATACTTCTGTATCATCCACATGGCTATTTCTTGTTTGACTTCAGGCTCCCTGAGGCCAGCGGGGGGCCTGTCTCCTGTATCCTCAACCTCACGTCTTCTAGCGCAGGTTCTGGCTCCCAGCAGACAATGAATAAAGGCATGAGAAATAAATACCTCAAAGCATCAACCAAGAATTTTCTTAACAGTGATGACAGTAGGGTAAGGAAGTGCAAAATTCCAGATATAAATACCGCCGTCTTATCTTGCTGCTAAAGATTTGTCTTTTGAGGTCAGAGGTTTCTTTTTTCACTTCCTTGGTCTTTCCTGTGAGATAAAACATCTTCACGTTTGGCTTCTGTAAAAAAAAAAAAACTTCAGTGAAAATCAGTGGTCAGTTAACAATAGCGGGAACAGGCAGGGCTCCAAGATGCTCTATTTCACCCCGTCATTACCCAAATGAAAAATACTTTCAGATGTGTGACACGGGATAATTGATCTTAGTGCATATGTTGAAATATGACACGTAGCTTCTGCATTCATTCCAGGCAGCCTTACTCATGGGGATGATGGCACGTGGGTCTTTCATCTTGTGTTTAGTTTTCTGAGTGTCATTGCAGCTTCTCAAGAACTGTGAGAATCCATCGCTACCTTGTCCAGAATGTCCACTATTTTACCCTACGCTTATCAGGTATAGGGCTCCTGTAATAAAGGAGGTGGCAGCAGGACCAGACTATGAGGATTTTTTTTTTTTATTATGAAGGATAAATAAATGCATGCAAAATGGGAGGCGAGTTTAAGTCTTCCGTCCTATTTTACGGCCCAATCCATCAGTTAGCTTTTGCTACCTTAAAAAGAAAGCCAACCCCAGAACGTAGTAGCTTAAAATAATATCCATTTATTTAGTTAAGGATTGTGCAGGTTGATGGTCTGGGTTGGGCTCTGCTGGTCTGGCCGGTGCAGCTAGGCTGACACATGTGTTTTCAGTTAGTGGCCGGTTTGGCAATGGCGGCCTCGCCTGGGGTGGCTCACCTCTGTTCTGCGCTTCTCTCATCCGCCCATGGGTTAGGGCTCCAAGAGAGTGAGCACGCGAGGCTTCTCGAGGCTAGGGCTTGAAATGACACAGGGCTGCATCTGCCAGATTCTTTTGGTCAAAGCAGGTCACAGGCCAATCCAGATTCAAGAGAAGAGAAATCAACTCCAGCCCTTGATGGGGGGAACTGCAAAGCTGCCTTGCAAAAGGCAGGCATGTAGGAAGAGTGGAGAACTGTGGTTGTCTTTGCAACCCACAATACCACGTGAAATGCCAGTATTGTCTGAAGGGAATTAACAACATTACGATAGAGAATGAAAGGAAACCACGTGCATAGCTGGTAACTTACGAGAAAAATGGCACTGGGCTGAGAAGAGAGGATAGCAGGAAGAAGTTGAGATGGGTATAGCCTGGAAGAGCCACTGCCATTCTCTCCTTTCCCCTCCCGCCTCACTCTGTAAAAGGAGGATTGAGAGGGAGGGGTGAGGCAGAGCAAAGGGGGTGTAGTTGGTAGGAAACATTCTTTTTCTCTTTCCTCTCATTGTCAGTGGCGGGGGTGGGGGGTGGCAGGTGATGAAGGTGTGGCTCTCTCATGTCTCACTTGGGGGAGCCAGCAGAGAGGGTGGGGAAGGGTCAAATGGTCTGTCTCCCGAATGGCTTTGTTTCCATGGGATCTCAGGAAGGCTTCAGCTACAAACACTGGGCCTCATGAAACTACCACTGAGTTCACGGTCACATTTCATTTTCTCAACAGCCCTGTAAGGGTGGGATCATTATTATCCTCACTTTACAGATGGGGAAACTGAGTGCTAAGAGCTCCAGTAACTTGCCCTCGGTCGCAGTTAGCCATTGACACAGATAGGGGTCAAAGCCCAGCTGTGTGATGGCTTCCATGGTGCACTTGGCTGAATCCTGCCACGCTGATGTCACCTGCGGGTTCTACAGAAATGGCGACCCTCTTGCAGGTGTGATCAGAGCACGTGGGATTTACTCCCTCCCCTTCCCCTGACCTCTGTTTGGATCTTGGAATGAGGAGCATGCAGTGGAAGGGTAGGGCTGGTGGGATGACTTGACCCGTGGAGAATCTGGCAAGCAGCAAGTAAGCAGCTACCTTTGGGAAGACCCCCTGCTTCCCCTGGGTAAGCAGGGATGGGTCATTTTCAGTCCCAACTGAGTGATCCATCTCCTCTTCCTGGCTGAGTCCTGAGGCCCCAGCCGCCGGGTTTGAATGTTGTATTTCTCGGTACCCAGAGGGTGCTCTGGTAGGGTGTAGTGGAAGCGTAGGCCTCACCAGACCAAGATCCTCAGGCCACTATTGGGCCCGTCTGAAACAGCTCCGCTAGAAATACCTCCTATGCCTCAGTTAACCGTGCACACAGAGGAGCACAGCCTGACTGATGTCTTTCACCGGATTCCTCTCGGATGTTCTCTGGTTCTCGGGCTTCTCCTCTTTCCATGCGGCTGGATCTCACCTACGAAATACAGTGGAGAATGCTTGTTTTTCCTGTTGCCGCTGCCTGTTTAGTTAAAGGCTAGTGCTGCCATCCACTGGCTGAGAATTTTAAAGGGGTTTCATGAAGAATTTCTCTCTTTTCTTGTCATTCTTCTTTTCCCCTCTGTAGTTTCCTCAATTTTACTGGTTCTTTCCAACCAGCAGATGCAGCTTAGAAGCCCAGTAGCAATAAGGATAAGTGAGTCTTGTTGGAAATAGCAGCATTGCTTTATGGCTCGCGATGTCAAGGCCTATTCTAGGTCCATTACCCATTCTTTCCTCACGTGGCCCTGAGAGGTAGTGAGACACTGTCTTTGTCCCCATTTTACAGATGAGAAAACGGAGAGTGGTGAAGTCATCTGTGTGTCATGGCGTCTGGCACAATCGAGTGCTTGATGAATGTTAGCTTTTATTTGTAAAGATGGGCCATATCTTAGCTTGCATCAAGAATTTGTGTGCAATGACACAGTTGGACACTCAGTGAAGGAGAGGGTGAGGTTGGGAAGGCAGGAGGCCATCAGGATGTGACTGTGAGCAGGTGACAGTGGGTACCTGGGGCTCAATCCCACTGGGGGATCCGTAGGATACATTTTGGAATTGTCCCACCAAGGAACACGGAAGCTGGGGTATTCTTGGAGAAATCACAGGGATCTTTTCAAAGCAATTGCGGACTTCATCACTGTACCCAGTATGTTGCCACCCGTTTGTCCTGGGAAAGGAAACAAGGAAAAGCTATTGTGCATCGTTCCCCTTGGCTTCCTGTACTTCCCCTTCGTTCTCTGGCTGGGCTGTCACCACGCAGCATACTATGCCCATACTCAGTGGAAAATTTACAATGAGCATTTACTTATTAGCTCATGCAACTAAAGGTTGGCTGGGGTTTGACTGAGCTGGGTTGAGCTCACCTGGGTGGCTCTGCCTCTGGCATAGGTCCAGCTAGGCTTGGCGTCTCTTGG